TATAAGGTGTTGTTGTATGTTTATAAAGCTGTTCATGGCTTGGCCCCGGAATATATCAAGGACTTGGTGCTTATGAACTCTGGTCACAAAGGTCTTCTAATTGTTTACTGCTCTTTGTTCCAAGAACACGTCTTAAAACTAAAGGGGATCGAGCTTTCTCAGTAGTTGGCCCTAGACTGTGGAATGCGCTTCCCCCTGATATTAGATCTGCTCCAACAGTCGATGTTTTTAAAGTTCGTGTGAAAACGTATTTGTATTCTGTGGCTTTTAATTCTTGAATTTGTTATTGTATGTTATGTGTCTGTTTGCTTTTATGCCTTCTATCTTCACTTCTTTTCGGATGTACAGTCCATTGGTCTACGTTGTAGTTGAAAGGGCTATATAAATAAACGAGACTTGAGACTTGAGAGACTTGGAGACAGACAGAGAGAGAGAGACATGAAGACAGATAGAGAGACAGACAGACAGAGAGAGACTTGGAGACAGACAGAGAGAGACATGAAGACAGACAGAGAGACAGACAGAGAGAGTGGAATGTTTCACCATACCAGCCTCCTCAGAGGATGTGGGTTTGCAGAACTGACACAAGGGGCAGGAAGAAGTTCATGCTTGCACTGGTAGCACTCTCACTCCTGCAGGGTGGTGTTGGGAAGAGGTGTAGGGTTTGACACTGGGGAGTCACCCCAGGCGAGGGTGGAGTTGTCCCCTAGAAGCCCCGGTTCTGGGGGAGGAAAGGTAAGATGGGCCACAATACCAGAAACCAGAGCCAGTATGGCCACCACCAAAGTCAGACCCCGCCGCAACACCAGCTGGACCAGCGGAAGGGGGGTTTCTTGGCTGCTTTGGGCACCCGTGTCTCCCCGAATCTCGCCCGCCTGCTCCTCTGTGTCCGCCTGGCTGTAGTCGCCGTCTTTGACCCTGTCACTCACAGTTGGCAGCTAGAGAGAGAGAAAAAATTGCCTCGAGAGAGTATCATGGGAATGGAAAAGGGCACGGTGCAGCATTAATTCCAGCCGTCAGGACAGCGTTACAGTGTTACAGTATAAAATCCATAAACGCAACAAGTAACAAGACCAGACTGCCTCGGTGTTAAAGTGTTATATCGCAAAATGATTATAGTACAATTACAAAATGAAGTTCCAATATAAAACTAAAACAGAAGTATGTTACAATATGCATCTTGGATGTCAACAAAAATCTCGTGTCACATAAAATACAAACATAACAATATACTAATAAAAATTATGACAGATTATACAATTGGTAAGAATTGTCTCTTTTTTGAGGAACCAAGTAAAAGCATCAGTAGGATCAAAGTGATCTCATGGGAACCCTACTCACAAGCATGCTTTCTGTCATCTGGCCCACCATTGGTGAGTTCTCCGGGACCAGGGTGTCAATCACAGGCTCTCCTCCAATGGGTGGCCTGGGCCCGACACAGGTCACCCGGCCGCCCTTCCCAGCGCGCTTCTGGGCCTGTTGGATGATGAGTTCAGTGACAGATTCCTTCCGCTCAGAGAAAAAGCTTTCCGGGGCTTCCTACCTCCTCTGTGACATGAGGCCAGTTCAGCTTGAAGATGAGCATGATGAAGAAGAATGCCTGTAAGATGACACAGATGAGAAGGCCCAGCCACAGCCCTGAGAGAGAGACAGAAATCCACGCAAAGTTACGACCTAAAATTCATCTCCCTGATTTATGTCATCATCCTGAAAGACGGGGTACCATACCAAATATCCTCATGTTTGCAGCGAACATGAGTGCAATGCCCGTGGGGAGACCAATGCTGTAGTAACAGATGAGGTTGGCAACAGCAGCGATCTTCTGCTTTCCAGCACCCAGGAGAATTCCAGAGCTCACACACTGGGGAGTGAGAGTGGCAGGGTCAACCAGAGTTGGGGTCATCACCCCATTCTGTGAGGGTCTGATCACCACCCTCGGCTATGTGTGTAGTTTGTATTTTCTCTCCATGTTTGAGTGGGATGCCTCTGGGTATGCTGTGATGTCTTCATTTTATGTGTAATGTGTGCCCTATGATGGATTGGCATCTCATCCAAGATGTCCCCTGCCTTGAGCCCTTTGCATCATGGGATAGTCTCCAAATTCACCTTGGCCCTGGGTAAGTAGTCACAGAATGATTAAACTGCTGATTAAACAGTGCAGATGAATTTTAATATGACTTAAACTCAGCCTTGTTGTGCTTCAAGGGCTTAATATATCTTTGTAGTCAGGCGTAAAGATCCCCAGAGAGTAGGCCTTAATGCCTCACCACAAGAGCATCAAAGAACTGCAGGAAGATGTAGAGATATAACGTGTGGGACACCAACTCCACGATGTTCCTGAAAGGCATCACAGAAAGATAATTGGTTCAAAGAGGCCCACAGCATCCCATAAGCCTCTGCTTCAGCCGGTCCAGGGAGGAGGCGGGGACTCACGTATCATTGGTGAAGATGAAGCCAATGACGGTCTTGGTGGAGGCAAGGACCACGCCCTGGAGCACAGCCATGACACCTGCAGTGATGGGGCATTGGGTTCAGGCAGTGAAGGAACAGGGTCAATGCGTTACCAAAGCAGAACTACACAGCTTAGCGTAAATACATACATAGAAGAGTCTAACATTTACCCAGCCATTGTATGCATAAACAGATTAATTAAGAGATAAATATTAACTGCGGCTGGCCAGAGCTTATAGGAGATACACTAACATATTATTTTTTGTCATAAATACTGTTCTACACACCATTAATGCGAAGCTAAAGGTGGGAAATGCCTACCAACACTGCCATGCCACACCAAGGTGGGAGGACTCACCAGAGAAGACCAGGGACACCTTGCTGGTGATGAGGGCACTGGCAGTGTCCCCCGCGCCCAGTGCATTGCCCACACGCACACAAGCTGCCGCATGCACACCCAGAGGGAACTGCATGGCACAGCATGACAGAGATTACTGACCAAAGACAAAGGTGAGTACTCAAAGCACAGAGCCGACTACTGATACAATGCAGGGGTGAGTACTCAAAGCACAGGGCCAACTACTGATACAAGGCAGGGGTGAGTACTCAAAGCATAGAGCGGATTACAGGCAAAAGCACAAAGATGAGTACTCATATAGAATGCAAAGATTACTGAAACAGTACAGATGCAGTACGGCCAATTACTGACATGACACTATGGTGAGTATTCACAGTATTTATAGGGGCAATTACTGATGCAGCACAGAGGTGAGTGCAGTTTGAGACATAGCACACCGATTACTACAGACACAGCATACATCGGATTACTTACACAGCACAGGTGAGATTACTCCAGAGTACAGACCTGATTACTGACAGAACAGTATTATGGACACAGTACAGATATAATTACTGGATCTACAAACGTGACTGCAAGTAATCATACACACATAAGGTGATCATACATAAAACACGAAAATGCATAGTGATGCACAGAGAAAAGATCACATGAGACACAGTACATGATTCAGAGAGAGGCGTGAACACAGTTAGAGTAATGTGCATCATTCTTGGGCCTGTTTGAAATCCCCATCAAAAATAAAAGAAAGTGAATTTTTTTTTTTTTTTATAAATTAAATAAATAATTTAAAAAAATGAAATCCCCATCAAGGTCCCAAGATAGAGCATTAACTGTCAATCAGACTGCTGTCTGAAAAGTCAGCACTGTAAGCATCTGTAATTATTATCTCACCACACGCCATGGTTTATTGTGAAGTTAATGAATGCTGGGGGGTGGGGGGTCGACTCACCATGTAGGTTATGGCTCCCAGCTCAAGAAGCACATGCTGCGCAGCCAGGTCAACCTTGCCCAACATCCCTGCCAACAGTTAGAGACAGAACAGAAAGAACCCGAGGCAGTGGTCAATCACCATGGCTACGCAAATCCCCCAATATCCTCTAAGAACAGGTCGGCACCATTCCCAGTCCGGATTTCTTCAAAAGCAGAAAAAGACCTGCAGACTGATTCAAAGCCACAGATGGGAGATCCCTGCGATTCTAAGCACCGACCATTCAACGGGTTCGAGTACTTCCAGAGAAACGTGAACGAGCATCTGGGACGTCACTAAATCTCAGACGATCGAGTGGGCTGTGTGAGCGGATCATGTGCTGGGTTTGTGCCCAAGCCTGAGCTTGTGGCTATACCTTTACATGTTTCAGAGGACAGTGTAAGGTTGGAAATCAGACAGCTGTACAAACCTGCACCAAGTAATTAATTATACTGAAGAAAAACCATTTAAAAACACTAACCACCCTAGAGACAACAGTTACAGGTACTGGTTAAGGACATGGACTCACAAATTGATGGTTGCTGGTTTAGGTATCTGGAAGGTTCTGTTGTTGTACCTTTGAGCAGGGTACTTAGCCTGGATTAGTCCCGTATAAATCCTGTTTAAATGAGTAATAGTGTGTGAAAAAAATTGTAGTTCAATCATGCAAGTGTAAACATTTTTAAAAGTATAGCGAAAAACCTATGATGGTTTTGTGACCCTCTGTTGTTTGTGCATTAGCCCCGATGTCAATAGCATGTCGATCTGATGATAGCAGGTCACGTATTGCTGAAATGCTGAGGTCACCCAGCAGGGGGAGCTGTGGTACCTGCCAGGAAGCCACCAATCTCATAGATCCACCACTCAAAACACAGCATGAGTGTGCTGGGTATGGCCAGCTGCATGAAGGACCCCCAATTCTGGAGTGATGCAGTAGACCAGCCTGTAGGGGGAGACAGAGTAACACAGATCAGCTTCCACCAGCTCATTCAAAAAGTAATGTACATTCAAAGAACCTGACCGGGGAAAATCTTTGGTCATCCCATCGTCTCTAAAAAATCTGAGTAAAATGTAACCAGACACAGTTATACGACCCCCCCCCCCTATCTGAAAGTCCTTCAGAATGTATTACATTCCAAGTTTTCCTGTTTTGGAGGCTGAACCAGTTCCTCTCTCTCACAATCACCTCCCCATGTTTTCACGTGAAGCTTCTTCCAGCGAATGTAGGCAAACAGGAAGAGGCAGATGAAGATCTGACACAGGCTATTGGCCACTGCTGACCCCCTGTATGGACACACAACAGGTACAGAGAAAGGCATGAGCATTTCAGGACATACACTCCAAATACCACCAGAGTGACACATGTACTGTAATACAGCATGAATGTGTGTACTCTGTCATTCAAGTGCTCTCAAAGAGGACGGTGTTTATAGGAGGACAGCACACAGCACACCTACTTCACTCCTAACTCCATCCAGAACAGCAGGACGTAGTTAATAACCACATTGATGATGTTGGTCAATACTGCCACATACAGCTGGGGAAGAATAATCCCCTGGGAACAGAAATCTGAGGTTAGTGCACATTCTGTCCTAGTCTGCGTTCATCAGGCCTGATGCAGAAGGATCTTATGCTCTCCACAATTGCTTATGGGGAACCAGCATAAACGCAGATAAGTCCAGCTGAGGTTTGGGCGGCCCAGCTGGAAACAGCAAGGAATGCTGGGAAATGGCAGAGCTTCTGAGGGGACACAGGTTACGGTCACTGGGAAAGACACCTCTAAGGGACACGCGTGAAGTATGGTTTGGTTCATAAAGGTCAGGGTCTGCTCAGTATCACCAGAAGGTCAGGCTCCAATGCAAGGTGAGATTCTCGTCTCCAACACGACCTTCTGCAAAAAACCTAAGAACACTTCCATGGCTCCTGGTATCCCACACTCTGCCTGGCCTCAACCTATGCCATGGGAGAAGGTCTGAACACAAGTGTGAGATCTAAAACAGAACAAGCTTTGTACCTGGTTTTGGAGGTAGGACACCTGCAGCTGGTGAAGAAACATGGCCTGTATGGACCAAGAAAGAGATCAGCAATCGGGGCTTATCTTTATGTCACTCATCAGAATACAGTCCATTAATTCATACAGCTGTTTCCTCTGTTGCCCATGCTAATAGACACAGGTGTCCTTACTGGAGCACTATGTTGAATATAACGGTAAATAGAGTACTACTCATCAGCAGACACACAGGAGCTCACTCCCGCCCCCTAGTGTTGGCAGCTAGCACAGCTCCTCACCGGCACGGCGGGCAGGAAGGCAGTCACGTAAAGCTGGGCGATGCTGTAAAATGCAAAGACACCGAGTTAAGCGGCACGATGCCATTAAAGCAGTTTTGGAAGAGAAGGTCTTGCAGGCAGGGAAAGGTGGGGGACTGAGTGGCACCAATGGTGCAATGGGGTGCAAATCACAGTGTGCTGTATGAGTACAAGCGGCCTGTTATTGCTTATTGTGATGGTCTCAGGCTCAGTGTATAAACATTTATGAAGGATGGGGGGTTGAATATGTACAATGTAATGATGCTTTATTTTTTCCATTTGCATGAATCAGAGTAGGGGTGGCATGAATCATGAAGCGGTTAGCACTGTTGCATCATACCTCTGGGACCTGGGTTTGAGTTTCTGCTGGGGTTCTATGTGTGTGGAGTTTGCATGTTCTCCCTGTGTTGTTGGGGGGGGGTACTCTGGTTTCCCCCCACAGCCTAAAAACATGCTGAGGCTAAATGGAGTTACCAAATTGCCCATGGGTGTGTGAGCGTGTCCTGCAATGGGTTGGGGCCCCATCCAGGTTGTTCTCTACATTGAGCCCATAGGCTCCAGACCACCTGTGACTCTGAACAGGATGAGCAGCTAGAAAATAGATGGATGAGTCAGAGTAGAGGTGCACTGCATATGCTTTAGTGCAGGGGCATCAAACTCCAGTCCTGGAGGGGCGGAGCCCTGCACAGTTTTTGATTTACCCTCATTTTACACAACTGATTCAACTCCTTGTGCTAATTACAACACAGCTCTTGAGCTGAATCATTTATGGTGGAATAGGGAAAGAACTAAGTTACACAGGGCTCCGGCCCTCCAGGACTGGAGTTTGACACCCCTGCTTTAGTGAATCCCACCTTGCTCTTCTTTGAGACACACATAGCTGAGAGCAAAGTTTGGAGTCCGACCATTTATTCAGAACCCCTGGCACATTTTTGGGGTTAAGAACTTTGTTTGGGTCCAACAGACGTAGTTATTCTCAGCCAGCCTCCAATCACAGGCACAGGGGTCTGAGCCACACAAACCCTCAAAAGGCACTGGCCACCACTGGGATTCGAACCCACACACCAACCCTCAAAAGGCACTAGCCACCACTGGGATTCGAACCCACACACCAACCCTCAAAAGGCACCGGCCACCACTGGGATTTGAACCCCAGATTTCCGGTTTATTAGGCAAGCGCTTTAAACACCTAAGCCATGACCCTGCACTGCGCAACTATGTTTTGTTCTCCTCTGTGTAAAATTTGATAGATAAATCAATCTTATTTTTGTTCAACTTTTCTCTTGAGCATGTTTGTTAATGTCATTTAATTGGCTGGTGTGAGGTATGGAATGTTTTTTGATTTCCTGTTTCTTTGTATCTTAAATTCTAAGACTTTTAGGTAATTTTCCCCTGCATTACATTTGCTTTTTCTTAATGGTGCCTTGTCTCAGTTTAACTTTTAAAGATTAGGTTTAGTAATTCACTTGTCTGCCTGAACTTGTCTTGTGTCTTTCCACACTGCACTCATGTAAAGCACTACTAATTAAACGACAACATTGTTTTAACTGTTCATTGAGTAAATCAATTACATTTCTCGGGTGCTGCAAACAGAACTGAATTAATGGTTGGTAAAAGTTAATTACGTCTTAACTTAATATATGGCATTCAGAAGATCCAGCCTTTTTTTACATGTGAAAGGAAGCTTTTAATTCCTGGGGGGGGGTTGCTGTGTAAAGTCCATCAAAGCATAGTTTAATCTACTCCCAATAGATTACGTTATTGTTTCCCAATGAAGTCCCATCACTACTTTTTAAATGTAGATTCAAATAGTTCATCCCTTCCTGAAAAAAAAAAAACATTTATGTTTCAAGTATTTTCAACATTATCAACTCATTTTTCATTTAAAAAATCATTTAGTGAAATTATGTAGCATTTTTGTCAGCAACTAGGTTATCAACAAATTGATTTTCTTTGTTGTCTTTTGCACGCGAAACCTAACCTTTATTTTCCAGCCATGTACCTGAGAAGTTACGATGTATAATTTTTATATGTAGCTCTTATTTTTTGTTCTACTAGATAGGATAATGATCTTAATTAACTCAAGGGCCTACAAGAACAACAACAAACAGCAGAAAACTACTGTTTCCTCCACTTTTATCACCACAGGAGGTGTTTGTACCTCAGAGAGCAAAATGAATGCGTATTGCAAACTATTGATGAAAGAAAAGCCCCCCCAAGCCCCCAGGTTCCCATGCACCCCTACTGCTGCGTAAAGGGACTTATAGACCTGTGTTTTTCCACCCAGTCCTCAGAGCCCCCCCCAGACAATCCACATTTTTGCTCCCTCCCAGAACCCAGCCAATCGCAAGGGACCAAGGAGGGAGCAAAAATGTGGACTGTCTGGAGGGGGGGTTGAGAGATGCTGATATAGAACGATAAAGTGCTGGCCAAGAATTACATGAAACTGTCAATCAAGATCAACAACTCAAAGGCAAGGAAATACAGCACGTATACTGTATGTTCGCTGAGCAGGAATGCAACCCCAAGCTTCGGTGTCGGCTGCAGTCTGACCTGGACACCTGGGACTCCTGCCTGAGGGCAATCAGGATGGACTGGGTGTTGATGAGCAAGGCCCAGCACGGCAGGCAGAAGAGCAGCAGGATGAGGACACTGCGCTGCAGGATCTCACCCACACGCTTCAGGTTCTTACCCCCAAAGGTCTGTGAGGAGACAGTGAGGCTTTGAATCAGAGCAGCCTTCTACTGACTGATCTAATACACAGCTATGAGTCACCACTGAGCATCTACATTTTTCATCTGGAGGATGTAAATGCAGGAGGTTAATCTCCAGGCACCCTGCAAGCTACAGTCAGGGAAAAAATAAGTAATCAATCGTCAACAGCTCAACTTTAAATCATTTATGTATTAACGAAATGTAGCAAAAAAGCTTCAGTAGATGTCAATGCTTGATTAACAAATTAACTTTGGTATTTCTGTTCTGAATCACGTTGAGGGCTGATCGACATGTTTTCATTTATCGAGTCACTTAGCAATAGATTTTTCACCTATGCCGTGTGTGATGTTGGTACTGGTTCTAACTTTGGTGCATTAATACACTAAGTAAATTTAAATGAAAAGCACTGACACCTACCTGTGACACCAATGTGTCACATGCCAGGGCTAGTCCATAGCCAGTGGCAGTCGTGGTGACATTAATGGTCTGAAAGGTTAAGATGAACCAGTGTCAGTCTAAGTCCTGGCCCTCTAACCTCAAGGCTCCAAATCTTCACCACAAAAATATAACAATACATTCAAAGCACCCATAAAAAATTACTATAGTGAATTAACAAATTAGTGGCTAACTTACGAAAGAGCAAGACTACATAAAATACAATATAAAGTACAGGTGATATAATGAGTGAACAAAAAAGTTTACCGCAGACGCCAGGGCAAAGCCAGCGAGCTCTGCGTTTCCTAGGTGACCGCAGAATATGGCGTTAACAAACGGAAGGAGGAAGTTCAGGATCCGAGAAGCCAGCTGGAAAAACAAAGGCAGGTGATGGAAGCGCCATGAAAATCGTGAAGCATGGGGATGCGAGGGAACACATAGGCACGCCAAGTCAGCCGGTCACCATGGCAACATAGTCACGGCTTGGATTTGAACCACAATGCCAGTAGCTCTGCCTGCCTCAGCAACCTTCACGGCACCTGCGAGTCGACTAGCTAGCCGTCCTTGGCGACAGCGCAAGTTGTGTAACCATGACAACACAGAGAGCAAAGGGTGACAGCCTCTCTCCTCCAATGCTGCAGTTTAGTTTCTATGTTTCTAGTCCTGCACACACACACACACACACACACACACACACACACACGTGTTTGTATTCACATCTTTATCAGGAATCTCCATTCATTTCTATGGGAAAAACCCTAATCCTTGCAATGACAACCGTAACCCCTACCCAGCCCTAACCTTAACCATAAGTAATCAAACAAAACAAACAAAATACAAGACTTTTGGCATTTTCAGTTTTTTGATTGCAATCACAGATTTTTATGAAATTGAGTTTCCCCTTGTGGGGACCATAAAGGTGGTCCCCACAGCGTCAAAGTAACAGGTTTTTATCACATTGTGAGGACATTTGGTCCCCACAATGTAAAATATAAAGATAACACATACACACCCTCTCTCTTATTGGTGCCCAATTTACCAGACATTTCTGGGTCCAAATGATGTGAACTAAGAGTGCATCGCCTGTAGAGGCCAAAGTAAATACACTGACCCCCCCTCCCCAAACTCCCTGGCACCTCCTTGGCAGACAGTCAGACAGAAAGTGCCAATGACGGAAATGGGGGACTGGGCCCCCGGCCACTGGGCCCCCCATCCACTCTGCTCTCACCAGGGGTCCAGTCAGGCGAAGCAGCTGAACCAGCTCCTCCCTGTAAGGTGGAGGGATCCAGCGGCGGACACAGCGCCAATGGAGCAACCCGCCACCGCCGCCGCCGCCGCCACCACCGGGGCCCATTTCACCAGACACCCGCCTGCCGTCCCCCACGGGTCCCAGCACATCGGGAGCCCAGGACTTCTCCATTCTCCGTGTGCCGTCCTCGAGAGAAAACGCAGCCAGCTGGACGAGGGAAGCTTGGAAGAAAAAGTAGAGTGAGAGAGTGAGAGAGACTGGGGGGGAGGGGTGGGAGTGAAATGCCGGCCACCCTTCAGAAGCAGCTTCTTCAGATGTCCATGGGGGGGGGGGGTGGGGGGGGTGGGGGGGGGGGGTTGAGGGGCAGCAGGACAGAGAGAGACTTCAAAAAGGGCCGTGCGTCGCTGCGTGGACGGCCTGCTGCAGACACTGGGGGCCCAGCCGCGATCAGCCGCTTATAAGCAGCGCCGAGGGGCGGGATGGGGGGGGCGGCGACGTCACGCTAATCTCATCAGGAATGCCTGTGCACATGCTGTCTGCATGCACTCCCAGGGCAGCATGCTGCTTTCATCCGATTTCCTTCAGTCGCACTTAATTAATTGCTCTCAGAAAGGGGATAAAAACAAACAATAAAGCGGTGTAGCTCAGGCCCAGCGTGACGATAAGTTCTGACCTCTGACCCCCGTCGTGGTCACATCACCTCCATCCGTGTCGGTTCATTCCCATATCCCTCAGTCACTTAGCAAACACTTCACTCCAGGAAAGAGATCCCTCCATCGCCCCCTGGAGGGCAGTGCTGGAAGCTGGCTGCACTGTCGAACCTCCAACACTGTCAGGGCACCTTCGGAAGGGTCTCATCACAGCAGGTCCGGTCGCCGATGTCAGTCCAAAAGCACTAAATGTGCATGAAAGGGGCTTTAAAATGCCAGACTGATAAACAGACAAACACAGATGCATGTGACCTTTGTGACAGCCCCAATCCCAGCTCAACCCACTCCCTCATTTAACATGACCTCCAAACTAATTCACAAGGTGTTCTTTGATTACCTCTAATATAAGCACCCAAACCAAAGTAATGGTGAAATTAGACTAATGTGCACTTTGCATAAATTAATTTATCTTTGACAGGGGTAGGTCAAACCAGCTTTGGAAAGGTCTAAAACTCCAGCTTCAGGAATCAAGAAGTCACCACTGGTGAACACATTCACAGTGAACCTTTGGCCCCAAAACTCTTATCACACACACACACACAGACAAAGAGAGAGACCATTTGTTAAGTCAAAGCAAAGGTAGGCCTGATGTTTGTTCCTTTCCCCAAATCGCTGAACAGCAGGTGCTGCTCCACCCACTACTGTACGTGTTGCCAGGTTTACCCCCTTCAGATCCTAGCAATGTTAGCGTGCAGCAAACAAATCCCCAGGTTTGGGTACGTCTGCAACGTCAGAGTGAAGTGGCGACCCCTGGTGGCAGGGTGCGAATGCTGTTTAGTTTAGCAGAGTGGGTGTTTTCTGCGCGCAAGACACTGGATTACAGGCACGTAGTCAGGTAGTAAAATAAGGGGTTGAATCCCACCCAAAAAATAATAATAATAATAAGAAGAAGAATTGCTCCCGTCCAGAATCTACCGCAGGGGATCACTCTCTTCAAATTTATGTCTGGTTGTGGCCTTTCCTAATTATTAATGTAATTTTAAAGTTGATGCCTTTTTAACCAGCGGTGGCACCCCAGCTCACACCCGTCACCCATTTAACACAATCACTTTCTATGCGCAGATAGACATGCCTTTTATGTCGTTGCTCAGTGATCATAAGCTGATGAATCACCTCTATCTGGTCACTCGTATGACCTTGACAAACGGCGTGTCCCTGAACATAAAATGCTTCGTACTGTAGGTATGACATTCCCCCGAAGACGTTAACGCATGCCGCTCTTCGCACTTCCGATGCAGGAGCCTGTAATCTGAACGGCAGTGAAGCCAAGTCGTTATAGTCATAAACGCAAATAAAATGGCGCCATTCTTAACATCCATTTTTATGCTCCTTATTACAGTGTTACTGTAAATTGCAAAAGTTATGCTACTTTTATACTTTTACTATTCAAATAAATTTGATTTTATATTATTTTCGCAGGAATAAATCAAATTTGCTGTAAAATGGGAGGGTTCGCCACAGCCTTTCGATCCAGAAAGTACAAATATAAACGATTAAACAAATTCTATCAAAGTTGCGCCACGTGCAAAATTGCTTGGTTTCTGTCTTTTTGTAACACACTTGCTTTAAGTTAGTGTGCATTGTATTATTATTTTATTTATTTTCCGCATCCTTTCTATATTTAAAAATCGTCTTGCTAAAAGAAACATCTTTCTAAAATTTACTAAAATGGAATTCTCCGTACAGGACATCCCGTTCTCCCGGCAGCTGTAATAACAAAGAAATTCCTTGGGCAGCCATCGGATCCTCTCTGTGCAACTCAATTAACATTATAAACCTTTTGGAACTGTGTACAAGGGAGGCGCGTCTCTTCGAGAAAATGCTATAAAAGGCTTATAAACATTAAAACCCTGCAAGCAAAGCTTTTCCTTGTTTCACTAAGATTGCGCCATCCGCCGAAAGTCAACTTGCAGTGTCCCGGGGACCCGAGGAAGTGAGTACAGAAGCCCGGATTCTGCGTTCTGCTTATAGTCTGTGAATTGTTGAAAATTTAATATATATATGCTACCATAATGCAAGATATAGATGAGAGAACTCTCACTGTATAGGCCTAATGAAAGTTTTTCTGTCATATGATTGCGTTGCAAATTGGGTCACCTTAATCGACACTGTTTCTGTAGCCAGGTTTGTTTATGTTCAATATTTATGAATTTTAATTATATTTACACACTTATCCGCCAACACAGCGTATTTTCTTTTGTTCTTATTTAGTGACATTTTAATTTAACTCAGCAGGTGACTGTCAGCTATTGAAAACTTGGTTTTGTTACTGTTTTCCCACGTTTCAATTTTATAGGTCTGTCTTCAATTAACATGAAAACGATACTAATTGCTTTCCACCTATTCCTGATTCCCCACTGCTCCTCTCAATTGACAGGTGAGCAACGACTGCGGTTATGTGGCGTATAAAAGCAGAATGATTATCGCGAGCAGATTTAATACACACACATTATTTCCCATGGGAAAAAAACAATAAAGAGAATAGGCCTTAATAAAATTCCGGACACACAAGAGAAAAAATAAGTGCTTTATGTGAAGTATATGAAGCATATGACAATATTCCGTGATAAATGTGCTTGAATGTGTGCTTTATTTGATACAGTGTTCCTCCTACAAAGAGCAATATTTTCCAGTTGCGTGCATTTGAGAAGTTTAAATGTTTTAAAAAGCAAGTCAGCTGCGTGATATCGATTCGGAATATAAATACAGTGTAATAGTTTAATGTGTTGTTCTTTTACTCTGTAACATTGTTTGATGATGATGATGATATCCGTGACCTTCCTGCACCAGTGCTCAGTATTGAGTCCAGTCCTCCATCCAATGGAAGTGTGGTGAGCTCAGAGGAGGGCATGACAGTGTCTCTCACCTGTCTGGTTGAGAACGTGGAGGTCTATCCTGGACCAGAGCTACGGTGGTTGCGGAACAAGTCACCAGTCCTCCTGCAGGAGGAGAACCGATTGACCCGGAGCAGCTTGTGCCTGGAGTCAGTGTCCCGGGATGACCATGGCGTCACCTTCACGTGCCAGCTCCACAGCAATGCCAGTGTCAATGCCTCCATGCATCTACAGGTGTTTTGTGAGTGCTGGGACTGGGGGGATGCCATGGTGTTTGTAGTTCTGTGCGTGTGCTTTGCAATGAGAGCCAGTGTGCAGTGACTGTTAGGGCAGTAACAGCATCAGTGTACGGTAAGTGTCAGGGCAGTAACAGAATCTGTGTGCTGTGAATGTCAGGGCAGTAACTGAATCTGTGTGCAGTGACTGTCAGGGCAGTAACAGCATCAGTGAGGCAGCATGTTGTTTTTGTCTGGAGACCCCCCCAAAAAACATTGGTCAAGTGTTGCAACCCCTTTCAATACAATAAAATTTGGCAAGCTGGGGGGTGATTACCATGATTAAATTCCTCAAGAGGATGGTGGGGGCCCCCCAATGCCCAAATCTGTCAACAGATTAGTAACATTTAACTTTCTTGAGTGTGTGGGAGGTGCCAAGTAAATAAGAAAACTTGGACTATTTAAAATTAATTTTATTCACATATTTGGAAAATCAAAACCTCTGATTTATTGGAAAAATGCTATGTATGATGGAGATCTCCTTGTTGAGAATTAGTATAATGATTTTTGCATAGCATTCATGTTTGGGTTACCATAGCTGTGCCATGATGTGACCTAGATGCTAATGGATACCTGCCCCTCCCCCTTTCCCAGTCACTCCAGAGTTCTCTGGCACAGAGAATGTCACTGCAGAGGAAGGCAGCTCAGTGACCCTCGTTTGCGACACCTACTCAAACCCGCAGGTGACAGTGAGCTGGCAGCAAAACGGTGAAGCTCTGGACTTGTCCAGCGGTGGATTTGTTCTGGTCCATGACAGGCGGGAGTCTCGCCTCTCCATGGCCCAGCTTCAGCGCTCCATCCATGAGGCCCAGTATAGCTGTATGGTCTCCTCCCCCATGTTTGGAACCAGGACCAAGTTCTTTCTGCTCACAGTGGAAGGTCCTTAACTTCTCTCGTTTACTTAGATCGGCGTTTCCCAACCCAGTCCGCGGGGACGCCAAGACAGTTCACATTTTTGTTCTCTTCCAGCTCCCAATGTTAGCACCAGGGATTTGGAGTTCTTGGTTGGCTGGGAGTGGACTGTCTGGGGGGTCCCTGAGGATTGGGAAACTCCACTTACATACAAAATGTGACCATACATCCTTTTTATCTACTATATAGCTTTCATTATAACACAGAGTTACACTTTGAGCTGGATGTTCATAGATCTTCAGTCAAAGGTCATGAACTTCACTATGCAAACAAAATAGCAGCTTTCAAGAGGGGATTTAGACCAGCATCAACTTTGACCTACATGGACTTTGACCTACACGGACTTTGTCCTTCATCCTTTTCCAGACCACCGCACTATCCACTGGCTCTTATCACACATGTTTTTATGATATTCTTGATCTCTGTCACTCTTGAATGGGAAATACGGTTCAATTTTATCATTCTACGGTGTTCATTGTACTAAAAATCAGCACCACATTAACACGTATTTTAATTTCATAAGGAATAATATTTTGGTTTCCTAAAGCAGGAAGTATTTCAATTTTATGAAAATTTCACTGACATGAAGCAAAAATTAAATACTTAAAACATAAATATTTATTTCATAGACTTTAAGTCAATCAAAAAAGAAATGTAACAGGTGAAAGTTTTCAGAAAAAAATACAATTTTCTGGTTATAGTCTATATAATAAATAAAAAGGATATTGCCCAGTAATGAACAGCAAGGCACTGTTAAATAGATTTTGAGTCAAATTTATTTCTGTAATGCAAAAATCAATATTGGTCTATTTCCTGTGTACTTATTTTCTGATCATATCTACCAATATTTATGTTACTTTAAAGCCATTTTGCAGGAAAGTCTAGTAGCATGCAGTATTCTTCAGTATTCTACAGTTTTCTTCAAATTAGATATCATTAAATATTATGCTTGTTTCACATCTCCTTTTTAAATCATTGTACTTCCTCATGGCTGTTGAAAGTTGCCTGATCACAGCAGTCAGAGAGCTCACTGTGGTGCGTTGATTGCTGAATGCTCTTGATTTTTATCCTCCTTCAACCAGATATGAAGATGAAATTCCCCCTGGCGCCAACAATCGCTGGATTAGTTGTGGTCGTCTGCACTGCCCTTTTGGCTTTCATTTCGAGGTGGAAGAGGATCACCAAGGTACTGATTCTCATCCCCCATCATAATTCCTCGCCTCTGTACCACACAGTCATGCGCTCAGCACAATTTGATTCCTGTTTTTTTTCCAGTGCTGCAGGTAGAGAATTGTCCACACAGCTCGACACATGGTGTGGGCCATCGAGCCCCAGCGGACCTAGTCCCTGAATCCTAATAAAACCACAAACCCGCAGAAATGCCAACAGGCCACTTTCACTCTGAGATCAAAAGGAAATAATTAAATTTATTAAACCATTGACATTTGCCTTGAGGCTTTTTATTGTTTCGGTCTTCAAGCTATTACTAAAGCAGGAATGCATATAGGCAAAATACAGCCAATAAAATTATCAATAACCTTCATCCAGCCATCCATTTTTATACTCGCTTTTCCCATTCAGGGGGGGGGGGGGGGGGTCCAGGGCCTATCCCAGACACCAAGGGAGTAAGGCAGGGAATAATGCAGGATGGGGAGGCAACCCATCGCAGGGCACACAAGCACTGACACGTACAAATAATTTGGTAACTCCAATTCATCTTAGCATGTATTTGGACTGTGGGATGAAACCAGAGCACCCAGAGAAAACCCCACAATCACACGGGAAGACATGCAAACTCCATGCACCTAGAGTCAGGGCAGACTCTCAAACCCTGGTCCTTGAATGGTAGTGTATAAAAGTTTCAGCTGAGATGTAGAAGAACCATACTTAATTGTTGAATTAACTGAAAATTTCTGCCACTGACAAAGCCACACTAGTTTTCATACAATTAAACAAAACTATTGCACAATGGCTCTGAGATTGCCTTAGTTACTCATTGATTTCCATCTTACAGTGGCAGATGAAATAGTAATATGGCAATACCAAGAGAAATAAAACCATTAAATAAGTTACATATTGATGTTCTCCTAGGCTAAACTCAAGATCCCCTTGCAAAATACATGTGCCACGTTCCCTGTCAGAGTTTACAACAAAAGCTCAAGATAAGAGGTGAATTGTTTACATTTTATTGCAATTTCTTTCTTCTATTGCTCTGGATCTTCTCTACCCTTTGGATATTATGATCTGAGAACAGATCCACCCATTATAGGACGACGCCTTCTTGAAGGCTGTTCGTCTCCATGGACTAAAGGGAGGCAACGGCAATTTTTAAGAGCATTTTTTTCGTTGCGCTCGGATAAGCGGAAATGACGTCGTATGTAACCAATCAGCTGCCTGGGGAGGTTCGCGTGCTTTGGGCGGGGGGCGAATTCAAATCGAAGCGCATAAAGACTTCTTGGGTGTGTCTGGTCGCCTGTTTATGCTTCGTCCTGCAACCTTGGTCAATAAAGAAGTCTTCGGTAAGTATTAAATATTTATAAATAACTGTTAAGAAATTACATACTAGCAAGTTTTTACATGTTGAGCGAAAGGAACATTTTTTCTTAACATTAGCGAAAGGGGTAAATCACAGCCAGCGGGTCTCTTAAAGGAGCCTTCTGATAAGACATTAGTCCGATGAAAAGTCAGATTGGTTTTGGTGAAATAAGGGGACACTTTGATAGAAAATATTTATTATAGTCATTCCAGTTTTCTTTTATTTCACTCTTACGGAAACTTTTCATATGGAGTATTAATCAGATTTTTAAGGGCCGGGCCGGGCCGGGCCGGTTCCTTTTCGGAATCTTTTCGGCTCAAGGTTAGTATCGTTAAGTAAAACTATAAGCTAAACTATAAATAATAACTATAAAATGCAATAGTAACTATGAAGTGCGATAAAGTACAACACGAAAATAAAAAAACTACAGCTAAACGAAAACTACATATATAATTTCAGAAAGTAATGGAAATAAAATTTAAAAATAACGCATGGAATAACTTTGTTTATCCTTAGAAATTAAATTGCTAAAACTTAAACTGAACCTAAAATATATAAAAACGAAATGGAAATATATCCATTTTCTGTACCCTATTCTCCTAAATGTATCTCTAAAATAAAATCTAATAAAAATTAATGAAACCACACTGAAGACGAACTGAATTAAAAACTTAAAACTGTAATGCGTCACACCGCATGGGAACTGCCACGCCCAAAGATCTGAACTCAGCATGTAACTTTTCTCCTGTTTTTTTCTGCAGTTTCTACAGGTCAGCATTGGTCATGGCATCTTCTGTCGTCCAGGCGGTCAGCGGGATCTGGCGGTCGCACTCCGCCCTTGACGAGTCAGACGGGCCGGACAGCACCCCCGAAGCACCACAGCGCTCCTACTCCTCCTCGTCACTGAGATCCCTGCGCTTCTCCCTACGTACACGACTCCCACTAAGACCCGTGGAGGCACAAGCCGGCACCCCTCCCACTGTGGAGCTGGCCCCTCACCCTGGCCATAAGCTCCGCCTCCTTACCCGCAGCGCTTGCAGCTCCATTGGTGGGGCATATCAGGTCCGAGAGGGTTGTGTTACAGTTTGAGATGGGAGTTCTATTCCACCTGGGCATCATTTTCATTGTAATTTTTCTTCATTCCCCCCCCCGGCTTCACAGAAACTCCAGAGGAGGTGCAGTGTCAGGGATGAGTTTCTGGTGGCAAGTCCCAGCCAGACCACTGAGGATGAGGAGAATGAGCGGCCAGCTCTGAGATGCGTTCAGGCTCACTGCACAGCACGTAGGCCGTCCGCTGCCGTCACACCTACAAGGAACAAGTCATGCACCCCGCAGTCGGCTGGCAGGAAGACCCCTCGCGGTGGGAATGTCCCGGGTGTGACTTTGAGGGCCGGGGGCTCCAGACGACAGCTGGTTCGGGTGGCGGCACTAAAGAGTCCTTTCGCATCTCCCAACACACTGAGTCGTCGGAGGTAAGAAGGCCCTCCCCTCAGGAGAGTTAAGCCCAGATTACTACACACACTAAATACCTTTGGCTGTGAAAGGCCATCAAACATTCTGCCCTTTGCTTAAATCGCCCCGTTTCCCCCCCATCGTAGGCAATTTGACATGGACCTGGAGTCTGTGTCCACCGGCCTCAGGAGGTTGAAAAATCTCTCGCAAGCCCTAGATGATGTCATCGGGAGGGATGAGAGGTGAGCTTGAGAGGGAGGGGGGTGGGCTTCCAAACTGTGTGTGAGTCTCTGATCATGTTTGCTCTTCTCCACAGCTGTGAAAACCACAGCTCTCTCAAATTTCAGTTTGCATTTTTGTTTTGGTGTGTTTCTCATTTTGGGGTTCGGTTGGATGCATTTACAAAAATTCAAGCTGCGTTCCCTCTTCGATAAGAATACAAGAAAAAGCGCATGACCATTATACCTACTGGTAGTTTTTAATGGCGTCTTTGGATATTACATTTCCAATACCACAACCCCATGTAAAGTGGTTCTAAGATCTTAGTACTATGCGAAGTCTTTTGATCAAGATTCAATGCATCTTTGCCTTGCTTTTTCATTCTTTCAAAGTGTAAAAGGAGTGACAAAGGCTGGTGCTTTGTAATGGTCACTGTGTAGAACAGAGGTACTTTTTTGATCTCTGTGAAAATTGGGTGGTTTTCACCCATCGTGCTCTCTCATGAGAGAGAGAGAGATATTTACGCACACACACACTCCCACACAGATTTGGAAACCAACAGTTATATTAATCTGCTGGCAACAGGATTCAAACCCTACAACCTTCTGGACCAGCAGGTGAAATGTATTATCAGCTGGAGTTTGTTCTATCTTATGTCTGACCACATCTATCCATCTTATGATCCCTTGTACTGGACAGGGTCGCTGAAGTCAGTCCCAGGAAACATAGGATTTAAAAACACAGTGTGCCCCTGGATAGACTTTCAGTCCATTGCACAACACACACAAATGACAATATAGATGCATCAGTCAGCCTAACTGCATGTCTTTGGTTGGAACCAGCGTGTCCAAGGAAGACCTGCACAATGCGAAAGTCAACACAAACCCCACACGCTGAGCGGGGGCAGGATTCAAACCTCTAACCCTACGTACTGAGCGACCATGCCTCCTGATTCATCCACAAGTATTTTTTTTAATTGCCTGAATCTAGGTGGCGTTACAGTAGTGCTTTCCTCTGACTGTCAGACTGATTCGGGTGCTTACATGTGCAGCGGAGTAGTTTACTGACAACAAAAACAAAATAACAATGTTTTTCTTTGCCATCAGCAAGTTCAGATACTCTCGTATTGTGGAATAAAGCTTGAGGTAAGGATCTGCAGCTATAGTGTCTGGTTTCTAATCCTGCCTCCTTAACCCCAGGGACGTTTTGCTGGTCTGAGCATGTGAGAGCACCTTAACACCTAATGTTTTTGCTTGTTTTCTGTTTTGAACGTGAAGCTGGATTGCTGCTGTTTGATGTCCTGGGGCCTGTTTCACGAAGCAGAATTACTTGCTTAGCCAGATAACTTGCCAGATTTAAGGTAGTCTGGGCTAAATAGACCTTATTTTCATCAACTTGCATTTAGCCCAGACTACCTTAAATCTGGCAAGTTATCTGGCTAAGCAAGTAATCCTGGCATGCTGAGATTCTGCTTCTTGTCATTGTGGATGATATATAGCGTGCGCTGCAGCTGCATGATGATGCACTTATTGAGTCCTTCAGCTCTGGAACTCGCTTGCTGGACAAACCCCCAACCCCCGTGCTGCCTTAAAGTGTCAGTCTGACTCGCTTAGCTGCTCCACAACTGGAGTCTTTACAGCTGGTGTCCTGAAACTTGAGCGCCTCTGCTAACCTCGACTTCTCTCACGCAGGGCCCAGGCCATAGAGAACTACCACAGCGTGATGGTGGGAGGCTATAAAGCGGCTCGGGGTCACCTGCCTGAACGGCTCACCAGGGCTTCCATCCGTCGCAAAACCAAAAGGATACAGGAGATGGTCCACAGCTGGACTGACATAGCAGTGGCAAAAATACGCAAGGCCACTTAGATTCAGGTTTGACTTCTGTCCTCCTGGCTCTGTTACATTGTGCTTTTAATTATGTCCGTTTACTTCATGTTCGAGTTATTTTTTCCCACCCTGTTCCACGTTAATGTTGCCAAATGCTGACTGTGTTTTGTATATAAACCAAAGCCTGACTTCATGATGCTCAGTGTTTCATCGGAGGGCATGGATTTTTTTTTTATGAATGATACTTTAATGACCTTGGTGTTTATTTGTGTGGGTCACGCTACAATGTAGATGTGGTTGTCCTGCGTGTGTCTCATGGTGCTGCTGTATTCTCCGGTTCCAAGGCCTGAGCTTAAATGATATGTGTGAAAAATGAAGGTTATGAAAACTCTACTTATGCAATAAGCCTGTTACACTATGTACTACTAACAGTGACGATAAACTGAAACTAAATGCAAACATAATGTCCGCCTCTCATTATATCCCACTACTGATCTATAGCCACTAACTATAATATTAATAGTGCATGTTTTTTTTGTTTTTTTTTTTACTGTGGTGGTAAACCATATAATGTATTTTAATCACTTTTATAAAAGTTTTTTATACCAGTGCTTGACAGGCTCTCAGTCCCAAGGAGCCAACTGTTTTAAAAATGCAAACGGGCCTCGTTAGCCGACGAGCTCACCACACGGCACTCAGTGTCACATGTGGGTCTGTGTGTCACCCCTACGGTCACATACACGTGGATTAATGCTCCGAAGCAGCTTGTGGTGTTCCACCCATTTACTGTGTTCTTGTTGCTGCTCTCTTAGAAAGAAAGGTCTGGACACTCTTTGAATTCCCGACCTGTGTGTTGTACCTTGTGTTTTGTTCTCTGTCTGTCTGCTGTATGCTGCCTACTTGTCTAATTAACCATTCTTGTTGTTTTCCAAATGGGACGTAAATTATATTTTTAACTGTTCATATGCAGCCATAATAAAAATGTATTCATAAATTGTTGTTTTATTGGTTTTATTGGGTTAGTCATATGCTATATCCCTTCTAGCTTGCGGTTTATGTGACTTGATGTGCTCTGGGCCTTCTCCAATGGTGACAGAGACGTGCCCTCTTCTGAGAGCCAAAGCTGAGTGTCATCTGCCTGACTTTGAAAGCCAGCCATTGGGAGGACAGTGTGGAACAACACTGATATTCATAGGCAGAGTGAAGTGACAATAGTTTTAACAATCTGAAAAAAAATATATACACATACCTTCAGCTGCCGCTTATGCTTTTTTGGTCCAATTTCTAGTGAGGAGGTTCACCTTCAGGCATTAGCCGGGGCAATCCCGTGACAATAGTGTACCAAATTTGTTCAGGCATTCTTCCACAACAAAATACACAGGGTTTAAAATATCTGGGGGAGACCCAAGCCAAAGGGGTTTTGTGCTAAGCAATTTTATCCAATAAAAATCTGTCCAATTTACCTAAATTTATCTGTCCAATAAATAAATAAATAAAGACATCCAGTATCTCCTGTGTTTATATGCTTCTGTGTACTTGCTATGTAAGAGAGAGACTGTCAGACTGACCAAAGTCCCTTAAGCACACATGTCCGCACTGGCAATAATCAATTTTAAAGCATTGTGACGATGTTCTGGTTTTCTGCTTGTAGTTTACGGTCTTGGAAAAAGAATATTTACAGCATGTTTGGAGAAAAAATTACCTTTCTGTACAACTTTCTGTTTTAGATGGTAAAAGTTCATGTCTGTTGGATAGTTGATGTAATTTCCAATAGCCAGCAGATGGTACTTCTAACACTAGGACCAAGACAAATGTGATGCAGTAACTAACATACTGCTAGCAACTTTGGCTCATATGGGGTGAGATTGTTCTGATCGCCCTCTGCCGGCATCGTCGAAATGTGCTTGCATTCTGAATCTCATGGGGCCTGTGTGCCATCGGTTAATATTTTTGGCTACCTGTGAAAACCAGCTCACCATCGGTCACCATCGGGAGGTGCAGAATATGAAACATCACTAGTTACCAACTGTTGCTTTTTTATTGTCAAGTGGAGTTCGGTGATTCGGGAGTATGTTGTTCCTAGCTAGAGGGGGGAGCTGGTAAGAAGTTAGCCAAAATCTGTACCCCCACCCTCCAAAAATCTGATCCTCTGCTCTTCTTTGATGCTGATAGCTCCTCTCTGAGCTGTGGGTCTCATTCTGCAGCCTCTCTGACCAACCCACCATCGAACCCCTACGCTGCTCCCCCCTGGTATCGCCACGGCAACCCGTCCGGGGCTGCCATCGCAGAGCAGTGAGGGTCTCCAGCTCGACGGCCGGTTGCGTGGAATGAGGGCGGGGTCACAACAGAGGAAATGGTGTGCTGATCGGTCTCTGGGGCTCCACTCACACGCCTCGGAAAGCTTCGGCTTGGCCATCAGGGGGCGGTATCCTCACGGTGTACAGATCCCCGAGGCCATACAGTACGGCCCCGCCCCCAGGGGCCTGCCACCCCGCCGGGGCCACCACCGTTGTCTTTGACGGACTCGGGTTGGCTCTGGGCACGCTCCGGTTTGGCGCCGGGGGTGCAGGGCTGGACGGACGCCTGCTGCACGGACATAGTGCGCCGCAGGTGGGCACGCTTGCGCAGGAAGTCGGGCTCGCCGGCCAGGCTTAGGGAGGACTCGCGGAGCACGGTACATCCGGGGGGCTGGCTCTGCTTGGGGCGGGAGCGCTGCCTCAAACGCAGAGAGGTCAGGTGTGACGCATAACCCTCGCTCAGGAACTGACCGCAGCCAGGGAGGTGTGGAGGGGGGGGAGAGGGGGGAGCCAGAGAAGGGTGGGACACACATATAAAGGTCTTATCTGCAGTTCTCCTTGACACAGTCATTAACTTTGTTTCAAAGTCCAGCCATAAGTGTCTTTGCTACCTTTAAATACCTCATATATAAGTCTGAGAGCAGCAATGTAGGGAAGGTTGCCATAAGAAAGTGAACCCTAACCCATGCTCTTGTTTTAGATCACATGTCAGGCTCTGATGACGTACCTGGCACTGGTTTAGATGTTTCTTGGATGGCCTGCCCACGATATATATCTGAGCTGGACTCAAGCCCAGCATGTTGTAGACGGAGATGTCTTTCGTGGAGCCATAGGCAGCAATGATCTTGATGTGGCACTGGGAAGGGAAGGGAATAGGTACCCGTGAACGACGAGCTTTCGGAGCTGTTGTGGTGTAGGAGCTGTAGAGGTAAGTATTCAGACCCACAATGGTGGACAGACAGCACTTAGCCGTAAAAGCACAGGGATCACAGTAGCGTCATTTAGGGTTGACTGGTGCCATATCGTATGTGTGTGTCCACCTTGTGTACAGCAGTACCTCCTGAACCAGGTTCCGGAGGAAGATGGCTTTCTGACGTAGGGGGTCGTGCACCAGCCCCTCAGAGAAGAAGACCGCTCCCTGGGGGAAGTTGTGCTGGAAGAGCCAGGAGACCACCCTCTGCTTCTGCATGTCCGGGCGGCCCGTGATGTAGAGGATCAGGTAGCCCAGGTCTTGCCAGTGCCTGCACACACCGATACACATGCTCGTACCCTGGATTCTTCTTGCATTGTGTCTGTGTCACACAGACTGCTGTCTTTACCTGACCACGTCCACAGCGCCCGGCCGGACCTTGGGGTCGCTACCCATGAGGGAGACGCTGGCGGCGAAAGAGCCGTCGATGCTGAACACCACGCACTCCATTCCCCGGGGCAAAACTGTCAAGCACGCCTCTGCACGAGTCTGGTCACCCCTGGAGCAGGTGTGAGGGGGGAACACAACGGGATTGGAAGGGTCACATGGTCCATCTGGGGTTAGAGGTCAAGGAGACTGGACTGTTTGTATAATGTGAACATAACTCAGGTATGAATGCAAAAAAATAGACTGTCTCTGGTGAACTAATGATTTAACATCTGTGGACCATCCAATAAGAGCTTCTTGTCTGCTCACTTGACCACCATCCTGATGGGGTAGACACCCACGCCAAGCTTCTTCTCCTGAGGGATGGTGTAGGTCACCCTTCCGCTGCTGTTGGTCACCTCCGTGTCGAAGTGCATCCAGCGTCCCGACGGGGGCTGTGTCACCAGGTAGACGTCCACCTGGGTGAACGCAGGGGGAGACGGCTTTACAGTCTGCCCCCGGCTCTGCTTGGGATACACTCTACGTGCGCCTGGAGTAGTCAGATCGGGAAGGAGCCAGTCGTTCCAGGATTTGACACTTAACGCCCATAAGAATGTGCAAGGAAAGGTTTGACTCTGCAAGTTCTAGGAGGTGCTACTGGCCGCTGTGAAGCGCCATTGGTGGACGGCCGTCTATCGATCCTACCTTCTCTCCAGCAAGCGTCACCATGTCCAGGGGTCCATACATGAAGCGTCCCACCAGCACTTGGGGCCCATCCTCGGTCGCGATGATGTCGTTCACTCTGTGGTTAGACGTCATATTCTGGAATCGAGCACCCAACAGTGTGTGAGACCTAACCCACAATACTGAAAGCGCTTTGAATCCTGGGGATATGTCTACACTAGACCAGTAGGGGGAACCGTACTTCCATTCAGCCCAGCAGTGTGACATGGACTCCACAGGCCCTTCTGCTGCAATTGGCTAAACATGTGTCACATGACATGTGTATATGGCTACAACAGATCAAATGATGACAGGTTCGCATTGTTCCTCTGCAGACCTAACTACTGTTTCCTCATGCTCACAGCGGTGATCTGAACTGCACATTTGTCCTGCATCACATTGGGTGGCAGAGATACGCCTGGGATGTACAAAACTGAATTATGTTTGACAGAGTAATAGGTCTTCAGAAGCAGGTTTGCATAAACATTTAACAGAAGTCAGTAATTCTAAATATGTCAACGAATGTCATTTGTCAAGCAGATTATCCTATAGGGATATCTGCTAATGAAATCCAATGAACATCCTACACCAGGGCTATTCAAATTACGGCCCTCAAGGGCTGAGCACTGCTGATTTCCCAGCCTTCCTTTACCTATGAGCCAGGTGTGAAGCCTCTGTGGCCCATCAGAATCAGTGATTATTAAATAAGGCCAGGATTTAGAATCAAGGGCCAGAGCTCTGTCATACAGGCTTACATGTTAACAGAGGTGGAAACTTCAGGTTCAAAAAGTAAAAATCCAGACTGTGATTTTGTTTCAATAAACCTGTTGAGCGTGACTCTTTATACTCAGTTGGTTGGTTGAAGTAGAATCACAATCTGGATTTTTACTTTCTGGACCTGAAATTTCCATCTCTACAGTTAAGGTACTTGGATTATCCTACAGAAAAACCGGTTCATGGACGCTTACAGGCTAATGGGATTTTCGCAATGAAGTGTCACCCTGACTGGTACCCACCCCCCCCAGCGATGGTCATGCACTTTTACCCGTAGCTTGACATGGGTCCGCCTGCGAAGCCACTTCTCGCGGGGGCCCGATGAGAAGAGGGCGGAGTCTGGGCCGTCCGCTTCCTGACTGTTCAGGCAGTCGCACCACATCACCTGATGGCAAAGCAGACAGCTAAGGCCCTTGGATGGAGACCGGCCTCCTTTAACATCATTCACAAGGTCACATGTGCATCAGTCTGCTCGGGGGCGGGGGGGGGGGGTCTGGGGTGATGTGGTTTAGCTGTATGATAAGGGGTTGGGAGGGGCGTGTTACTCAGGTGTTGCGACATTAGTAAGTCCCGTTAGGACGGTTAGGGGGGCAAATGGAATAATGAGAAAGGAATCAGCATGAAAAAGCCTAAGAGACACCTGAGCTGAACAGAAGCAGCAGACTGTGATAACAGCAACTGCTCAAGAGTAACTGTGAGCTTAGTTAGAGCCCCCCCCCCACACACACACACACATGAACTGTGGATCATCTCTCTCTCAACCCTTTACTTTGGGGCACAGCTGCCACCAGCACTCAGCCTGACGTTGGGGGGGAGGGGTACTAGATGGAGGCAGAGAAGAGACCAGGCATGTCCGGGATGAGAAGGTGTTAGAGGAGAAGCACAGGAAGCCACTGTTACCCGAGGCCAAGTCGCCGTGGGAAACTCCCGGTCACCAGAGGACTAAAGCACACAGCATCACCACTCTCATCCCTGCCTTGCACTCATAGCCTATGACATAGACTCCAGACCCCTCGTGACCCAAAATAGGACAAGCGGTTACATAAAATGGATGGATGCACTCAGACAAGCCATTCAAAGGAGACACTCAGAGGTCAGGAACAATGGGGTTCATGCGGATGGCTGACCAATCACAGTCCATATCAGGTATACTCAGGAAGTTCACCTGTTGCAGCAGAAAAAACACCAGGTCAGTGGACTCCCAGTAAGAGCTATGGAACAACTGGGGCAGAGCAGCAGCAGGGAAGGCGGACAGCATGTCTGGGCAGTGGAGGGCGTAGTCCAGACGCTTGGAGCCCCACCAAACAGCAGAGACTGGGAGAGAAGGAAGGAGGCACAGATGAGGTTAGCAGGAGGAACTATCAATTTGATGATGGCCTCTAGGCAAGTAGGAGTGAGAGCACCACCTGCTGGACAGGCCGATCAATGACACCTCACTCACTGTCATCCACGGTGTCATCTGGCTGGCTTGCACTGTGGCCCAAAGGTTCGTTGTCATTGCTGACAAGACCAGTGCTCTGCTCCGGGGTCTCGGGAGGAGTGGTCAGAGCTTCGGCGAACACTGCGGGGTTGCTCTGAATGGCATCAGCTGGAGAGGGAAGGAGGAATGAGGAGGGAGTAGCAGATCTCAGAATGTTGCCCTAAATGAGCCTGCTGTTGGTAATATAGGCCAGCAGGCAGGTGGCTGGACCAGTATTGGCAGGGATCACGCTCATATTTCCACTCAGGATGCTTCATGTGTGAGAGATTCGGGCTCCAGCTTGCTGATTAGCCCTCAGGCCTTAGTCTGGTTTTATCTTCAAATATCCTGTAATGCTCCCTAAATCACATGTATAGTGGCCTGAGAATTGCCGGCTGAAACAATGCACCTTTGATCTGATCACACCATCGTGTGGCGGACTTCTTCACCTCCGGCCCGGAGTCCGGGGTTGCCTGTCACCCACGGAACACAAGGCACCAAGCGGGGGCGTTTAGCTTTGAAAAGAATTCTGATGAATTGTAATCATGAGCAATGGAGCAAAACTTCACTCCTTTAATTAATGATCTAAAGCAGCCATTCCACAAATCTCTTCTCTTCACTTCCCATTCTGTCTTCTCTCTCCTTCTCCTCCTGTCTCTTCTCTCTTTCCACCCACTGTCTTTGCAGTAACCTACCACTGAAATGTCAGATTATCAAATGACTCAATGGGTCATTTACTGCATCGATTTAAATTCATCACGCTTAGCGTGCACACCTCGTCCCTTATGCTCTTCTAGTTTCTGCTATAGAACATCCCTCATCTTTTTCATCAACTGGTAAATAATCTCTGAGACCTTGCAGACCTACAATGGCTCTCTTGGGGGGGGGGGGGCAAATAGGGCTGAGCTGGCAATCAATATGACCAAACCTTACCATTACTGAAGGACAGACCATCTCTCATCATACTAAATAATTCATGGTTGTGGTGTTAAAAATATGGGCAACACTTTACTTAAAGCTGTTTTATAATACACTATAGATACCTTCATATTGCATTATATTGGTCGATATAAGACTTAATAAATCATTACAGCATCTTCTATAGACACTCATAAGGCATTAGAGTGTTGATTATAATACTTCATAAGCTCCAATGAAGCTCTCATATATAAAGCATTCATAGTGCATGATACACATGCTATAATGTGTTATTCCTTTTTATAAATATTTATAGCCATATTTGTAATGCTTCATGAATGCATGCAATGTGTTATGAATGTGTTCTTCTTATAGACATGGCAATCATACAAAGTGTTACCATAATATTAAATGTTCCATGAGATCTAGAGTACCAAGTAAACTGCTAGAGGCAAAACTGGGGTGATATTTAGGCTAAATTAATCTAAGGTATCTTGCTGAGTGATAGACACAAGAAATGCTCCCATCAAGGGGGCGGGGGGGGGGGGGGGGACACATGATATGTCTTCTCTGAGCCCTCCGTACCAGAGCATCTTACCCAAGAGGGCGGAGATTCCATTACCCAGCAGGTCAGACTGGTAGTGGGGCACGGTGAAGGGGGGTAGGCGCTGGAACTGGGGCTGCAGCAGAGGCTCCAAGCGGGAGGCAGAGGGGTCCGAGGGGTAGAAGATGTTGTAGATCTGGGAGCAGGCTGGCCGGAGGTGGGAGACTGCAGGGGTGTGTGAGAGAACACTGTGTGAAAATGTACATAGCAGCGGTGGAAATTTCAGGTTCACAAAGTACAAATTCAGACCAAGATTTTGTTTCAACCAACCAGTTGAGTGACTGTGACTCTTTATACTCAACTGGTTGGTTGAAACAAAATCTTGGTCTGAATTTGTACTTTGTGAACCTGAAATTTCCACCTCTGGTACACAGAGTCTGAATTCAGAATCAATGGCCCAGCAAGACCCACCTTGGCCCTCAGGCAGCACGCTCCTCCTCATGGCCAGCACCAGGCCCAACGGGCAGCCCAGGAGGAAGCAGCTGGACACCTGGAACTCTAGGCACCCAGGGCTGGAGTGACTGTCCTGGACCAGGCCGTCCTCCGCCTGCAGCGGGTCACTGGGCAGAGAGACCAACACAGGAGGCTTAAGCCGAACACTCACAATGAACAGTTATTAGGAAGCATACAGGTCTTTAGATCTGAAAACTCACACTGAACAATTAAGAAGCAAACAGGTGTTCAGAGTTGAACACTCATACTGAAGAGTTATTAGGATGCAGACAGATGCTTAGAGCTGAACACAAACACTGAACAGTTATTAGGAAGCAAATAGGCCCTTAGAGCTGAACGCTTTCACTGAACAAAGAGTTGCCCTACATATGCTTAGAGAAGAATACTCACCCAGAACAGACACAGCCCATACAAGTGCTTAAAGCTCACACACACACACTCTGCTACACAAACACAGATATTCCGTTATTAATGCCCAGATAAATAGATACGCACAGATGCTTGTGGGGCACACACTCTCAGAGCGAGAGAGAGAGAGAGAGCGAGAGAGAGAGAGCGAGAGCCTTGCACATACACAGGGCTATTTTTAGCCCGCAGACAGCAGCCTGGCAGATGGCTCCTGCTGCAGAATATTGATAGAGGCAAAAGTAAGATGAAGCGACTCTGGGCACGAGGAGCCTATGAGCTGCACATCACTCAGCATAACTTCCTGTTTTCAGAAGGGACACCGGCTTCATTCACAAATACACTGCGTTAAAACACACTGCAAGACCTTCACAAACCACTGACCATGTTGATAATACACTAAAACGACATACAGCTGTACAGCGCATTAAATCACATAACATTGAATTTATTCACACACCTATACCCAGCACTGATTCATTGTGAAATGCACGGCATGAAAAATACATTAATTCAATAGCATAGACTCCATTAAAAATACAGAGCCTACCTAATATATAGTGGACGTCACACTGCGTAAACCACATTAATAACACACCCCTGCTTCACACAAACGTGCATTAATGATACACTGCATTTGTTCACACGCCTGTTAGAGTAATCGGTAGGACAAATTTTAGGACATTGCGCAGAAATAAAAACCTAAAAATTCTGGTTGGCTGATAGATTGGAATGCGTGTGAAAACAACACCTTTGTTTCCTCTATTTGAGTGCGTTGCAGAAACAAATACATGAACCGGTATCATCGGTCATTAATTCAGCGGTAGCCGTTCTGGAGAGCCTGCGTCTTCAGGCCACGGAGCCTGATAGCAGCCTTCAGCAATCCGCTATGTGAATACATGATGAGAGGTCCAGCTAACCGCTAAAGCTATTCACAAGCTGCTGGCAGTCAAGTCCTTTTAGTTATCAGGTCATTTGTTTGTCTCCAGAGGCACTATTTCTTAAAAACAGGAAACTAGGATTGTTTATTTTGTATTCCACCACTTAATATGTTTTTTTCTCTATGTAACTTATTCCCGTGTCCATTGTAGCCATACACTATAGTATTGATCAAATGAAGTTTCATGAACCATTTGCTATATTTTTTGACACCACTAGATGGTGCTCTTAGTTTGCTTCGGAGCATGCTTTGAGTCCTTTTATGAATAGAGAACACCATCTACTGGGGTCAGAAAATACAGCAAATGGTTCATGAAGCTTCATTTGCCTATCACTAGTGGACCTAATGGACACTCGTGTTTACTTGTATTGGACATTGATGAGATGGGGGGGTGCATTAAGGTCAGGGTAGAGTGCTTTTTGTAAGAAAGAGAGGATGCTGAATAATAGTCCCACAATGTGGAAAATCCAGACCCTGTGCTGTGGCCCCCTCTCCCTCATACCCTTGAGCGTGACTCTTGCATTAAAGCAGGAGCATTCTGTATTCTGTATGTGACAACAGAGCTACTCCTGCCATGAGTATCATTTGTCAGTCATGTGTGGGGTCAGGTCAGTGTCAGGTGGAGGCTGTAAATGATGGCAGCAACCCGGTCGGCACTAAGGGCTACAGTGGTACTCAGCTACTTCCCTGCAGGGAAACCACTGCAGATGGTTCCAAAACCACCAGCAAGCCTGATATTGAGTCAGCTTTCACATCACCTTCTTCCTCGACCTTGTGTTTAACTTCTCTTCGTGTTTATAAACTGTGTCTGTGGAAGCTGCGTTCTATGGAAGTGGGTCATTGGAGGAGTCAGGGGGGCCCGTGAGGTGTGTCCTGTGAAGCTTTGTCCAGTGACCTCCATCCAGTGGGAGGTGTCCACAAGTTCTTTTCCTCCGAAATGTTGTTCCTTGTTTTTCCTCTTTCTTATTAATCCCTTCCTGTGAATTTATACCCCTGATCTCACAACCTTCCTGCCACCTTCCGCCCCCCCCCCCACCCAGTACACCCCACAGTCTTTGTCTCTACCTGCTGAAGAATCCCCCCCGGCCACCGTTGGGGTCCCCGTCATACGAGTCGCTCTGCTTCCTGCGAAGTGTCCTACGAGGAGCCGAGACGTCGACGTTGCTCTTGCTGAGCCGCTTGCTAGAGCCCAGGCTGGGGCTGCCCCCCCCCAGTAGACCAGCGGTATCCTTAGGGAAGACAGATAGATTAGAGCAGTATTTCTCAACCCGGTCCTCGGGGACCCTGCAGACAGCCCACGTTTTTGCTCCCTCCCAACTGCTGTGAAATGTGAACTGTCTGAGAGGGAGCAAAAACGTGAACTGTCTGAGAGGGAGCAAAAACGTGAACTGTCTGAGAGGGAGCAAAAACGTGAACTGTCTGAGAGGGAGCAAAAACGTGGACCAGATTGGGAAACACTGGATTAGAGGTGTCACTAATCTCTTAAGCCCATTCTGAGGGACCCAAGGCAGGACGACACTCCGGAGGCAATGGCAAGGGTGCGAATCTACAGCAGCCTACCTTTATGCTTTCCATGCTGTTGTTCCTGCTGCAGTCGCTGTGTGTCCCCTGGGGTGATCCGCTGCGGAGGCACAGTGCGTCAAAGCACAGCACCCCCCCGATACAGTCCCCCATTAGGCACACCTGGGGGCAGCAGGGAGTCACGCTTGACCGGCCTGTTAGACATTTTGCAAGGTGCCAATAGCGAGTTCATAAATCGTCTTATCAAATATGTCCCCCCCCCCAGAGAAAATCTGTTGTTCCAGTACGCCCCTCTCTGCACTACATTTGGTATCCAGCTATCTCCTGATAAATCTGCATGACCAGGTGACTTGACATTACTCCATGTAGAGGTTGTTATATGGGATAACCTACCCTGTGGTCCAGGGGTTTTCAAATTTTTTGATCCAAGGTCCACATCAGATTTTTCTTCGAAACAGTTTTCAATAACAAAACAGCATTTCATGAATTTTGATGATTTTAAAATAACCTTCGATATAGATATCAACATATGAGAATAAAGCCTGGTTTGATGCTCGCTGATCGTTTTGACCCTTTGCCAATGGGGAGTTATGTGTGTTTGAAGTTTGGTGGATCTACCATGTTGAGCCTTTTTACATGAACCATGTTGATTCATAAGGTGCATTTTCAGCTGTGTCCAGATTCATTTGCGGTTCAATATGTATCCGGGCTGCGGTCCGGACTTTGAGGTCCCCCTGCTGTAGGGACTCCGTTCCCCCCGCTGTGGGATAAACCACCCACAGCTGCCCCCCAGCACCCATTTCAAAAGGTCCTTCCTTGTTAGGTGCCTCCTTGAAATTCAGGCTGCAGATCCATGACCAGAATAAGTGGTTAGAAGATGCATGAATAGATAAATGTGTGAATGAATATTTGATTACATATCATTACACTGGGTCACTGGCACCGCCAGGGACGCATCTCAGTCCTCCCAAAACCACTTTGCCCCCCTGCTGTCTGGTAGGAGTTTCTGCAGCCTCAGGACTGTGAGCCTGAAAAACAGCTTCTTTCCTCAGACTTTCTGACTGCTGAACAGTCCGTCACCTCTCAGCTTAACGCTGGGTTTTTTAAAAGAGCTCATTTTGCCTTCGATTTATCGGAAGTTGGAAATTCAGAAATTTCAACTGGAAAGCCCCCTGGAGTTCCGGCTCAAAAAGTCGGAAGAATCTCTGCAACCCCGACCTAAGAATTCAAGACGGCTGCACGCTTCATCGACAGAAGTGAATGCTGTAGTTATGTGTTGTTTGTTAGCACATATGTGTTATTTGTGTTTCTTTAAATCAGTCGTACTGTTAACAATGGCTAACAATGAACTTGGCTAGAACTGGGGTCTGTTTAAGAAAGAAAGATTTCTTAACTTAGCTGGATAACTTGTCGGATTTAAGGTGGTCTGGGCTAAATGTAAGTGAAGTAAGATAAAGGCCATTTAAACTGGGCTACCTTAAATCTGACAAGTTATCTGGCTAAGCAAGAAATCTTGCCTTTTGAAACAGGTCCCCTTTAAATCTGACTTTAACTCATAGAACTCGGGTGTGACCTCCAAGACTAATGGAATGCAGCATCCAGTAATTACACTCAACTCACATTACCGTATCTAAATTTATTTATTGTACAGTTCACTTCCATGTCAAACTTCTGTACCAATTTGCACAATGTTTCCCCACCAATGAAGTTTCCCATTGTCTCTGTCTTAATGTCCACGCCTTAATGTCATGTCTATATTAAGTTTATGTCTTGCAATGTATACTCTGTTTATGTATTGATTCCCATTTGCACTATAATTGACAGAGAACTATATTTCAGTGTAAGACTCCATGCATCATAAATCTGAATCTGACACTAAAAGTTATTTGTTATGAGGAAATTTTACCAGACTGAGAACAGGTTCATTTGGACAGGATAAGTAGGACGAGTTTACATTTTACAGAAATATTGCCTGACTGCATTAAACAGCTATGAGGGGGAATTTATATAACATGTAACATAGTTGGACATATAGTCATTAATCATATGATGCTGTCACTGGTGAATCGTTCCAGCTCCTTACCTGACCAGTGAACCCACGGCCGTCCTCAGACTGCAGGAAGCTGCGGTAAACCCGGTTGGCGCGGCCGATGAGCATGGCCACGGCGTCCCGGTAGCTTGGAGCGGCTACAGCCAGCAGGGGGAGTGCAGCCAAGGGCAGGTGGTCCACGCTGCTGGACACGCAGCTCTCCTCACAGCTGTAAGGGTTCAGGCTGCGGACGAGAATCAGGATCTGCGCTGGCTTCATCAACCAATAGCCGATAGCCCACTGATCCAAGGTGATTGTTTTTCGAGCTAGGCTCCATAATATAATACCAGTACTCCTCTCACTGTGCTTGTGGGAGCTTTATTTATACAAAAATGTTATTAGGGCAGAACAAAAAATGATAGGTTCAGAGAGATAACCAATCAGATTGTATAGGAAGTGGGTCCAAGCAATTAGAGGAGGTGGGAGCAAGACATCTGATTGGCTGGTTCCTCCTCCTCTAGTTGCTTGGACCCAGAACATTTTTTGTGTAAGTGAAAGTCCCATGAGCTCTTACTGCAGGATACCTGGAGCTGACAGCCACTCATAGCTCCATTTATCAGAATGGGCACAGCCAAGAGACGTAATCATGCAATGAGCTTTCCAAACATGCTGACCCACAAATTCACTTACACTGTAGTACAGTAAAAGTTACAGGTATGTTAATGTAGAGGGCATGGGGCTCTTGCCACGATGCTCGGCCATCCAGCTTCATGTTCTGCCAAATTCAACCCACTTCTTTTGTTGTGATTGACAGCTGTCTGGCCCCGCCCCTTCTTAGGTAAATGAATCAGACTGCCCCTTTCCACACTAGTTCCACCCCCTTCCCATCTAAACATTCTTTCCCATTGGCCCCTCACCACTCACTTGGAGATGAGAGAGAAGGCTTCAGTGCACACGGGAGGGCAGGGCACCAGGCGGACCTGCATGTGCTGGGGGGCACCGGCCCGTAAGTGTGCCCGCGCCATGCAGTCCAGGCCCTCTGCAAGCGTGGCCACATCGCCCGCTTTGGCACCTGCATCACCACCCCCCGGGTCCAGGGCATGGCTGCCATGTACCACCAGAATCAGTATGCGGGCCTTGCATTTCCTCTGGGGGGGGCAAGGGGGACACATCAGAGGGCGGGGGCGACACACGCTCAGCCAGGAAATGAAATTAGATAGATAGATAGATAGATAGATAGATAGATAGATAGATAGATAGAGAGTACAGTACAAATAGTTTGTGGTCTGGTATAATATATTTACCTACAGCATCAACAGGACAAACAAAATGGCGAAATAACAAACACAAAACCTACCTCTAGGATCTCTTGGCCATCCACACTGCTCTGGGAGTGCTGAAGGGGACTTTCTGGGAAGGGGAGAGGGGTTTGGAGGCAGGTGGAGAGAGGGTGAGAGAGAGAGAGAGAGAGAGAGAGAGAGAGAATGATTTTGGCTTTGTTGGTCTTCTGCTGGACCCGCGTGTCTCATGCATCTCATCACATGTGCGAGTCAAAATTAAGCCCTCTTCAGAAATGAATGGCAGCCTAAATTTGAATTTGAAAGGCAGAGAGACAGAGAGCGTGGGTGACTGATTCGGGTAGCGCTCCAGCTCCATTTCCTCGTCTCCTGGTTTCCGACACAGGATGTGGTGCAGGGGCAGAGAGGGCCTCATACTGCTTGAAAGTTAATCGCCCAGGAAGGGGCATTGTTGTTGTGCCACTAAAGCTGGCACTCACTCTGACAGCTCCAGTAAACAGTAGCCAGCCTGCCTGAATGGCACCTGAACATTGGGTTTGTGTGGCAAAAAAAAACATCCATCATTTCTTCCCTACCAATGGGACGGCCCCTCAGTGCCCCAAAGAAAAGCAGGCTCATTCTGCCTCCAGCGTTTTGCACTCTTGTGTTCTTTACGCTGACTGATAGCTCAGTCCACAGTTGCAGCCCTTTGTTGTGTTACATCTTCCCCATTTGCTTTTGCAAGGGAGAAAAACCAACAGCTCTGACAGCCTTTCAATGACGGGCCTTATCTGGCAGCTCCAGTTGCGCGTTTGTGTCCGTAACCCTGAGTGTGCGCCAGCGTGCTCATCAGCCTCCAGGGGGCAGCGAAGCGTCTGGCAGATTCTGTTTTCAGAGGCTCGGCCCCTGAGCCATGGGAACTGCACTGTGCCGCACAGTGAACTCTGGTAGCACTGTGTGTCCATCATGTTTTGTTAAAAGAAAATCGAATGTAGCAAATGGAAGGAATCTGGAAACTTTTGGGTGTCGTGAACCTCGAGTGAAGCCTAGGGGGCGCCACCCTGCTGCGCTTCAGTAAGCTTGAAAAAACTGAAGTATATCAGTAGAAAAGAAAAGCATTTACAGAAAAAATCAGTGTGTCTCCCGCGTTCTCGAATGAGGTCATTGAGGGGCGGGAGGACAGTGCCATTACTTCTGCTTTGTGAAGAACACACTACTTCCCATTGGTGAAAAAGCAGCCAATGATTGTAGACTGGAGAGTAAACCCCGCCCCCTGGCCAGGCAGCTGCCTAGCACGTATTTGTTTAATTTAACCATGCTGTTTGCCATTTAATGAGCTGTTGTTTTCGCTTGTTTATCTCCATTAGCAGCCCATCCCAAGTCGATCACCCCTCCCTCACACTGCTGTTCCACACACTGTCGCTGTTAATGTGGGCAGGGCCTCCCATGAGCCAGAGCCTCCGTGACCGAAGCCAGAGTCACTGATCTGGAGCATGAGGGGAGGTGGACCAGGGGGGGGGGGGGGGGGGGAGGTATCAGTCACATCTGGAAAAGGAAAATTAAATGTAAGCAGTTTGAGGGAGGGGTGATCGACTTGGGATGGGCTGCTAATGGAG